TTCTATCACTCATATATATATATATATATATATATATATATATATATATATAATGATTGTATGCTTTTAAATGTATACACACACACACATATATATATACATGTATGTATATATGCATAATAGCAAAGGGAATGGAGGGGTAATTATGGCTAAGATAGAATCATTGAGCATGAGACCAAAGCACCCACGTTTTCATCTTTTGCATAAAATGTCAAAAAAATGACCAGTAAAAAGCAAAATTGTTACACGAGTTCTCCCCATTTAGATTTATTCCGAATCTCTTACGGTCAAATCATTATTTGACGCGGTTATATCCACAGATAGATTATTTATCCTGAAAAAGAAAAAAGAAATTCCAAATCATAATATTAGAGAATATACACTTTATGCTCTCACATCGATATTGAAATCTGACCATTTTTTTTTTGGAAAAGGAACCGAGCTGTTATTTTCACATATAGTACAGTACGATATAAGAGCCATTAAAATATTTAATATGAAATTAGTAAAGTACTTTTTTTTATATATACATATAACCAAAATATATATGCATTACAATGTAAATCCGTTCAAATAATTATATAAACTTATTTTGAAATTTTAATCGTTAGAAACCAGAATGAGATCAGTTATACATTGAGGGATGAATTACAAAAAAAAAGGTATTCACATATCCATAATATAACTGTCGTAAGGCCGTTTATATTACTAAATAGTTTAAAAATTAAGTAGAAAAAGTTTGGAGAGTGAATCTCTTTCGAAGATATTTTAAATCGAATTTTCCGAAGTTAGATATACTTTCTGTCTCTCCAAAATGTTGAAATAGAAATAAAACATAGAGATTTGATATGATTTATAATAATTAAATGTATTATATCAATTAAGAATAAAATATATATCGTATCAATTATATTTTTCTTTATTTGTTTCTTTCGTATTTTTATTTCTTTCTTTGAATAATTTTTTCTATAAATATGTGGATTATTTTTATTGTAATGTAATAAGAAAAAAGAGATGTAGTAATAAAAATGTTTTCGTTCTTTTATCTTTTGTTCTTTCTTTGTAATTTAATTTTCGTATTTTATTTTTCAATATAAAATAAGTCCAAAAATTTATAGAAAAATACCAAAAAAACACAAGCCAGTAATATTAATAAATATAATTTGCATTTTGTATTTTTTTTGCACGAAATTAGTTTATGCAGGCTATTATTCTTGAATAAGTAACGAATACATAAACTAATTGTATAGACTGATTTTTGCTCGTTATATCAGTTTTGAAAAAAAAAATGTATTGGACCATAAATTAATTTTCATCGAAAATATAAAAAATACAACTGGTGTGAACACATATGGGTTCATTGAACCTTACAAGACTGCACACATTTCTACGTCAAATAAATAAAATATGCTAAAAAAGACAGCACGACATTGAATTAAACTGTTTATTATTTATAAATTTTATTTGTCTGAAAACATCATGATATTTAAAAAAATGAAAAGAGAAAACATACATGTAATATTTTAAGTTACATATTCATTAGGCAGAGGTTAATACAATATGATGATATATACATATCCCACGTAATAAAATATTCTCGGCAAAAAAAAAAATCGTGGTCACATGACATTTTGCAAAGCAATGATCAATTATGCTTGAAATTATTTTTCAGAAATAATTAATTCTATATAATATACCCACACACGCATATTTATTATTTTTGAAATTAAAAAGAGATTGCATAATTAATTAGATAAAAATAGTATTTCTTAAAAAATAATTAATCATATGTTTCTTTATATATATTTAAGGAATATTCTTTCTTAAAAAAAACTAATTAATTTGTTATATCGCACAATTATGATTTGACTTGATTATTACTATAGTTTGTTACAATAAAACCATTAACACAGTTGGCAATTCCTGGTTGCATAGTCCACAATTTATATTATTGTTTATTTTTTGCGTAAAAGTTTAATTATATTAATTATTATTTAAAATCTCGAAAAAAGGACGATTTCAATCCCAAAAGTCTCATAAACATTGTTTGTGGTTTAAGCATATGCTTAAGTATAGAATACATATGCGAGACCCAATACGAGCTAAACTATTTTACGTACACTTGACTTGTTACAAGTTGGTTCATTTATTATTGTAACAAGTCGATATCGCAACATGCATGCATGCAATCTCATTAAGGTATAATCAAAGCTAATATTGGACTTTTTACGTACCATGATTTGGATAATTCAACAGCTAAAATGAGAATGCAAATATCTGTTTCGTCCAAAATTTGAGTTCTAAATTGGAAAGTAGAGTGCAAATTCTAATCATATAATTTGTTCTCAACCCGAGATTAGTTCGAGGCCACCCGTTTACCAAAAATGAAGAAGTTATATCTACCTACGAAGATGTTGAAGTTGTGGTTTTGGTTCGTTTCAACAAATTCTATCCTAAAAGATGTTTCAATTATATTGGATCTAGAAATTTTTATTTAGCGGGGAACTAATATTGGGAAAATGATCAAACTTAATTTTTTTTCCATTGAATTCGGATAAAATTTTGATAAATATATATATATGAACTTTTCTAATAAAAATTTACTATTTCAAGCAAAAAAAATACACTGGACATCTTATTTGTGTATTTGTGTAACCACATGATATATATATATAATTAGGTAATGATCTGTATTCCACATGCGATAGTTTGAATGATGGGCGAAGACTTTCGCTTGTTCTTGACATTAATTGCATTTGATTCGCATGTCTCTTTAGAGTGTGCTTCAAAAGATTTGCTTCCCAAAATTATTATTAATTTATTTATTTATTTATTATTTATTATTTGCTCGTCTCTTGATTTTTACATATATCTTATTGACTTTTAGTTGGTGGTTGCAGCTGTCGTGACCTTTGACTTTCCTTTTCTTGAGCCCTCTTTCGTATGTTTACGTATTATATATATATATATATATATATATGTATTTGTATATTTGTTAACTGTTACGTATTATATATATTATATCTTAATATTTCTTAGATTGGATTTTTTTCACATACAATTATATATTAACCGATATTATTCGAGGATTTGAATTCAATTATATCTTCGTGGATTTTAAATCTCACACAAATATAATTACAGAGTTTAGATGATAATTGTACACTTCTTTCTATTTACAATGGTATTTTGCTTAGTTTTATAACTGTAATATTACTTTTTATGTTAAAATTATTTTCTTGCCTTTTTTTATATATTAACCATCTAGTTAGCTTTTAAAAAAATTATAAATGGAACTTCAATATATACTATAACCAACAAAAACCTCTGACCGCAATACTGATTAACTGAAATTAATTTTGTCAAACAAAGGACCACATCGGAATTAACATATGATATATATATGTATATATACATATATATATATCATGAAAATATAAAAGCAGTTGAGAACGCATTAAATTCGAAATCCCATAAGGTTGAGCAGATTACAAAAGTGAAATAAAATACAAGGAAAAAAACTATTTTTTTTTTAATTTCAAAACAGCACATATGCACAGATTTAATTTCCAAGTTTTGACTTTTGAACATATTATGCAGATGTACCAAGTACATTGAAGCACACGAACGGATGATAACGGAACGTGGATTCTGTCTCGAAACGCATTTTTTTTTAAAATGAGTGACAAAATATTAAAAAGAATATGATGACTCGATAGAATAAATAGAAAATAATAAGACAAAATAAAAATGAGAAAAAAAAAAATAACGAGCTTTTGCAGAAACGGGGAGAAAATATATTAAAGCACTTCAACAAAAAAAAACATGTCAAAACATAATTATTTTTTTTTGTGACTTAAAAGAAATTAATACATTTCATATACTAATAATATGCAATGGTCAATTAAACAAGAAAATTAATTATATGTCCAAATAATTATAAAATTCATATTTATTCATAAAAAAACATCGAACTATTTATAAACAGTTCGTTAATATTTTTATGTAATCCATTCGGTCCTCACTCCTTACAAGAAGTCGAAAGTAAAGCCCAATATCGGTCCAAAGCATGGCCCAAAGTAAAGCCCAATATCGGTCCTCACTCCTTACAACTAGTATCGTTTTTCTTTCCCCTGGAAGAGCACATTGGAAAAATGTTTACCTGAACAATTCGTCTAAATTCCAGTGTACGGCATGCACCACTTGGGTTACTCGCGAGTCGCGTAGCTTCCATTATGTACTCCCCAGAGCACAAAAGAAGAAGCTTTCAGTGAAGGCGAATGCTTACAAAGAAACTAACCCCAGTTATAGCCCATCATCATTTTGAACTTCTGTAATCTGAGCTTGTGCCTCAGCTGAATCTGGCGCTGAATTTTCTAGCAGACCGGTGACTGTAGAATCATAAGTATCAAATGGTGCACAAGAACATTGACATTTGTACCATCAAAGCAAATGCCAGGTATCCACCATGAACTTCAGGATCTACGGAACAATCATTGGCACTGAAAAACAAGAAATAGGACAAGGGAATCTGGCACAAGCAAAACCAAAACATGGACGCCTTTAAATGTCACTTAGAAAAGTTTTCCCACTTGTTTCAAAATTAAAAATGCCCAAGACCGATAGAGAAACCGAACCCTGGGCAACAACATATAAATATTACAGGGGATAAAAGGCGAGGCCTTTTTTGTGTTCTCAGTCAAGAAATTCATGCTTTGGCCATCAAAGAAAGAGACAACAAGATGCAGATAAGAAAGAAAGCACCAAATGGTAGGTTTGGCAGATTTATGACTAGAAATACTTGCCCCATAGAAAGAAATCAATAGTCGAAAACACAGAATTTGATTAGGCATAACACACCAAGAAAATTATAAGCAGAAATATAGTGGAATTACCTGAAATCCCTCACATGGAGCTAATACATACTTACATCTGAAAACGAATTCAAGCATGGTTTTTCCTCAGCTAACCTATCCCATCCTTCATGCCTAAGATCATCAGAATCAAGATTCACCAGCAAAGTTTTGCTACCATCAGCTGAAAGCCTGGTTATGAAAATACAAAATAGCACATTAAACATTTGGCCACATATTGAGTTACAAATAAGCCTCTAGTAGAGAATTCGAACCCAACTGAAACAATAAACATACCCCCGAGCGCAAGGATCATTTGCACAGCAAACCTCAACTTTCAAGGTGCTAGGATGGTAGACTGACACTTCATACACATAAGAGCACCCTTCCCAACTCCTAGGTCCTTCTCTGCTCCACACACGCCATTAGCCTCCTTACCTTAAGTGGGATGATTTCAGTGGGATTTGTGGTCTGGAGATTCTCATAGTTTCAAGCAGAAGCTGACTACTTTTATACATGAATAAACACAGAAAAAGGGATTGTTACATTAACAGAGTGAATAAAGAAAGACAGTACCAATCAATTTTCAACAAGAACAGCAGTAGGGCTCAGAGGTAAAGAGAGATAACTTCTTATGTACAATGTGGACTAGAGAGCCAGCACAGGAGAACAATTCATCCAAGACACCAGGTAATTGCAACCCGGTTCCCTCGATTGGCCGCCCATGGAAAAAAGACAACAACAAGTTGCTGCCGGTATGCAGAACCAGGAAACGACAGTAGAGGAGATAAAATGTACAACGGAATGAAACACAGATGAAGATTCTTATTGTCGAAGAGAGAAACAGCTAACTGGCTTTTGACAAGATCTCTGACATCCAAACCCAAAGGAACTTTGAAATGTCTGTAATGCTTGATGTGCGGAAACTTCTCGATCACCTAACAATTCAGATTTGTGATTTATAAAATGTACAACGAAAAGAAACACAGATGAAGATTCTCACTGTCAAAGAGAGAAAAAGCTAACTAACCCAAAATGCTCTCGATTATAACAAGCAGTCACGGCCCTGATAACAATTTTTCGACCAAAGACAAAAACGAAATTGAAAATCAAAATCATCTGGATCGTGATCGATCATCATAACCCAGAACCAAGAACACAAGAAATCGAACGCATTCTAGGAAACCCATTAAAATTTAGCCGAAAATTACGAGTCGCAAATATGAGAAGTAAAAAACGGAAGCTTCGAGAGGCATCGGAGATGTAGTAGATGAAGCGAAGTGGTTCTCTGCAGGAATTTCCCGAGGGAACACTAGTTAGCACGCCGGCGGTACGATCGAACGACGTTGGAGAAGACGGAGTAGAAGAGAAGGCGCCGGAGCCAGACATTTTTTCTCCGTTGCTCAAGTTATGATTGCCAGATACAATTTCTTGACCGTTGTCATATGTATATATATATATATATAAAAGTAGGCACAGCTGTCAAAATTTGAAAGTGGCAACAAAAAAGGAAACATTCGTGAATATATTAATTAATTCCTTTATCCTTATAGTTATCAAATTCTTTCAGAAATATCCAAACCTTTTAATTCAGTCAAAACAGACCCCCTACGAATCAAACTAGTTTCCTCACAATCAGTTCCTTCCCATCATTTAATAATTATAAGGATAAAAGCATCAATAACTATGAACCCTTCAATATCTCTCATGGTACACACAATCTTCAATATATATATATATACCCAAATCCTATAACCAAAAGGGCAAACCCGAAATTATCACCACATTTTGGAAGCCCCATTAGTTATGAAACCTTGATCTATGTGAAAAACATAAACCTCTCTTATATGTTTTCAGTAGAGAGAATCCAGATACTGATTATGGTGCTTCCTCCTGTACTCCATCAAGCTGCCGTAGGTGACATCAGCAACACCGACATAGAGCGCCTCGGTGTCAGGGCTGAACGTGATCCCAGCGATTTCCCCGAACAGGTCGATCTCTTGGCAGTTCCGAAACCCGGATTCTGTGTCGAAGATGTGAACAAAGTCAGCGGCTTCGGCCATGGCTAGGAACCTGCCATCCGAGCTGAACCGCAGAGCCCTAATGGCT